AAATGAACAATAACGAATGCAGTATCTATTTTCTACTGTGAATAATGAACTACGCCTGCAGGAGACTGCCAGGATGTCCAATTCAACTGTGAGCCAAGCTGATTCTGGTAAACTTTCAAAGAGGCCCATTTCAGGGGATAACAAAAAATAACACAAATGTTAAACAAAAAACACATTAGCATTACAAAAGTCTCCCTCCAGCACTTAGTATTACAAAGAGGCAAGCAGGGCCATGTACAGCTAGATATAACCCTATCCCGGAAACTAGATCTACTTGCTCTGAAAAGGGTGCCGAACTGGTGGTCTGCTAGGCACTGTGACGCTAATTGCCATCTATACTAACACCCCTTCCCTCCTAATATTCACACATTCAAAGCCTGACTGGGATTAAAAACAATGCACATAGACAGTCCAGGGAAGGTTTTATGAAGGACAAAAAAAATGGCAGTCATGCTCTGCCCACCAAGAAAGCTAACTAACTAACTGTGTTTGCAACAGAGCTTAAAAGGAGAAGTCCTAAACACCTAATACCAAAGCACTCCAAACAATTTATGAAGACAAGTTCTCCCTATAATATAAAGTTCGTTGTCAGATTTTTACATTTATTCTGAGTTATCCTTATTTATGAAACTACAACAAAAATACACAACTAATTATGTTTAACTTAATTTAAAGCGAGATTTGATAGAAATGTACTAAAATGCTTTTATATTTTATAAAAATGGATTAAATACTTTAAATAATGTCCCAGGTGGTTTACGTTCATAAAGTTGCTGTACACCAGATAGCTATATATATATATATATATATATATATATATATATATATATATATATATATATATATATATATATATATATTTATTTCTTTATATATATATATATATATATATATATACACACATATATACACATATATACATACATACATATACACACTGTATTGCCAAAAGTATTGGGACACACCTCCAGATCATTGGATTCAGGTTTTCAAATCACCTCCACAGCCACAGGTGTATAAAATCAAGCTTGGTACCGTGATAGGTTGCCACCTGTTCAATAAGTCCATCTGGGAAATATCCTTGCTAATAAATATTCCACGGTCAACTGTTAGTGGTATTATAACAAAGTGGAAACAACTTGGAACAACAGCAACTTGGGCCATGTAAAATGATAGGGTCAGAGCATGCTGAAGAGCACAGTGCACAGAAGTCACCAACTGTCTGCAGAGTCAATAGCTAAAGACCTCCGAAGGGAGGGGATCATGCTCTGCTTCAATATGTCACAGTAAATGTTGGAATTCATGGTTCCCTCTATGAATTGTAGCTCCCCAGTGTCGGCAGCACTCATGCTGCCCCAGACCATAACACTCCCACCACCATGCTTGACTGTAGGCAAGACACACTTGTCTTTGTACTCCTCACCTGGTTGCCGCCACACACGTTTGACACCATCTGAACCAAGTAAATTTATCTTGGTCTCATCAGACCACAGCACATGGTTCCAGTAACCCATGTCCTTAGTCTGCTTGTCTTCAGCAAACTGGTTGCAGGCTTTCTTGTGCATCATCTTTAGAAGAGCCATGCAGACCAATTTGATGCAGAGTGCGGCATATGGTCTTAGCTCTGACAGGCTGACCCCCCACCCCTTCAATCTCTGCAGAAATGCTGGCAGCACTCATACGTCTATTTCCCAGAGGCAACCTATGGATAGGACGCTGAGCAAGTGCACTCAACTGCTTTGGTCGACCATGGCGAGGCCTGGTCTGAGTAGAACCTGTCCTATTAAACCACTGTATGGTCTTGGGCACCATGCTGCAGCTCAGTTTCAGGGTCTTGGCAATCTTCTTATAGCCTAAGCCATCTTTATGTAGAGCAACATTTCTTTTTTTCATATCCTCAGAGAGTTCTTTGCCATGAGGTGCCATGTTGAACTTCCAGTGACCAGTATGTGAGAGCAATAACACCAAATTTAACACTGCTGCTCCCCATTCATACCTGAGACCTTGTAACACTAATGAGTCACATGACACCGGGGAGGGAAAATGGCTAATTGGGCCCAATTTGAACATTTTCACTTAGGGGTGTACTCACTTTTGTTGCCAGTGGTTTAGACATTAATGGCTTTGTGTTGAGTTATTTTGAGGGGACAGCAAATTTACACTGTTATACAAACTGTACACTCACTACTTTACATTGTAGCAAAGTGTAATTTATTCAGTGTTGTCACACACATGAAAAGATATAATAAAATATTTACAAAAATGTGAAGGGTGTACTCTGTGAGATTGTGTGTGTGTGTGTGTGTGTGTGTATATATATATATATATATATATATATATATATATATATATATATATATATATATATATATATATATATACACACACACACATACATACATACATACACACACTAAGGGGCCAATGCCTGAACAGCTACCCCACACCATAATCTCCCCTCCACACAAACTTTACACTTGCAACAATGCAGTCTGGCGAGTATCGTTCTCCTGGAAACCGCCAAACCCAGACACATCCATGGGATTGCCAGACAGAAAAGGGTGATTGGTCACTCCAGAGAACATGTCTCCACTGTTCTAGAGTCCAGTGGCAACGTGCTTTACACCACTGCATCCGAAGCTTTGTATTGAACTTGACGATGTAAGGCTTGGATGCAGCTGCTCAGCCATGGAAACCCATTTCATGAAGCTCTCTATGCATTGTTGTTTTGCTAATCTCAAGGCCACACAAAGTTTGGAGTTCTTTAGCTATTGACTCTGCAAACAGTTGGCGACTTCTATGCACTGTGTGCTTCAGGATGCTCTGACCCCACTCTGTCATTTTACGTGGCCTACCACTTTGTGGCTGAGTTGCTGTTGTTCTCAGTTGCTTCCCCGTTGTTATAATACAACAGTTGACTGTGGAATATTTAGAAGCAAGGACATTTCACGGATGGACTTCTTGCACAGGCGGCAACCTAGCACAGTATCATGCTTGAATTCACTGAACCCCTGAGAGTGACCCATTCTTTCACAAATGTTTGTAGAAGCAGTCTGCATGCCTATGTGCTTGATTGTATACACCTGTGGCCACGTAGGAGATTGGAACACCTGAAACCAATCATTTGGAGGCGTGTCCCAATATTTTTGGCAATATAGTGTGTGTGTGTGTGTGTGTGTGTGTGTACATATACATACACATATACACACACACTGTAGATATCACTGCAAACTTGGTATGTGAAGAAACGCAATTAAAAACCATGCATTTATTCTAATGAAGTCTGACCGGTTCACAATTGTCCCTACAAGTCCATAAATACTGTTGTACATGCACATATGAATTTTGATTGGGTTTATAAACCCAAAAAGTCACCACTCCAGCCCTGTCTCTGGCTTCAGCACCACTCTCCTGTCACTGCAGAAACCAATGGCAGCAAAGCCATAGACTCCTACTGCCGCATTTTAAACTCCTTTGAAGGAGGGAGCAGAGACATGGCTTACCAGCATTGTATGCATCTATAAACACACACAGCCTGGCTCGGAAATGCTCATGCACAGGTGCCTCCTCAGAACCGGGTTTGCTAAACGAGGCGCCTGATGGAGGAGTAGCAGAAAGCCCCAGTGGGGACTCCCAGAAGATGAGGAAAGTGACCTTTCTCTGCAATATTGTTGCACAAAGCAGGGAAGTAAAAACTGTTTTTTATTGAAAAAATAACATTTAGTAATAAACAACAATTCCAAAATGCACTTCATTTATAACAAAACTATACACTATAAACCTTATTTAAAACCATGAGCTGAGTCCTTTTTCCATCAAATTGCTCTAATAATCTTGGTGTACCTAACGTGTCTTTGGACAGAAAAAAATCCAACAATAAGGTGCATCAGGAATGGACATGCGAATTCATAATCACTTGCTAGTAATAATGAATTGTAATCTACCCAGACATATTCCAATAGACTGATCTATCAAAATGATGGATTAAAATTAATCCATAAATGTATGAGTACCTATTCACCTTAGCATGCATATTAACCTAAATAGTACATGACAGAGGCTAACTGACTTGGCACAACAGAACTCCTGGAATTAAGAGCTGCCAAAATGTGTCCTTAATCCACCATATATAAATGAACTGTTCAGTGAACATGTGTGTTCAAGTAAAAGTGTAGATTGGTAAAAATCCAGAAGCAGCAATGAGGATAAACACACAGCTGTACCAACTGCAACTGCTGAATGCAAAACTATGCATAAGGTTAAAAATGGTAAAAGCTCACAAATTAAGTACAAAAAACACTGTCTGCAACCATGGGATAGATATCAATGTGGATAGAGTTACATTCAATCCAAACCAGCAATGACAAACAGGCAACTGCAGTCACTGAAGGCAAGATTATACATGTAACTTGGACTGCTCAGAATGTCTAGAAAAATTGCAGTTTTCTGTCTTGTAATAAGTCACCAACCTGCTAGTACTAAGTTCAGTGGTTTGTTAGCAAATCAACACAAATGTGCTTCAATCGCAAACATTTCAGTGTCTACTTCAAGGAAGATAGTTGGTGATATACTACTGGATTCATTGTGATTTAGACAGTGCCAACAGTCATTCATTCCAAACATCCCTCCATGGTCATACATTGTAAAACATGAAGAGACTATACATGGCATGAGTTCTATATCAGTCTAGACCTGCATGTGTCAGAGTGCAATGCCTGATATTGGTATATCTAAATACTTGACTTTGCGTTGACATGTTGATTGTATGTGTTAAAAAGGCAATTCAATATTATTTTTTTCTCTCAAAATTCTACTCTACTCTACTAATTTGTAACATCTATTTATTTTTGTTTATTTTTCTGGAAACGTTATCATGGATATACAGAGATATGATCCCTTGCACAGGTTGTAAAACTTAACTATTCAACCAGTTGTAATGGATGTTGGCTGTGAACTACAATCTCCTTAGTTGTCCATACAGAAAGGTAAGAACAACTTACCACAAGTAGAGGACTCATCTGAACGGTCACCACAGTCATCATCTAGGTCACAGGTCCATGAATTAGGAATGCATCGACCACTAGCACAAGAAAACTGATTTGGAGGACAAGTACGGGCTGTGGAAAAAGAAGGAGGGGGTCATCTATAGGAAAAGAAAAAAAATTACACACAAACAGAGTATAGGAGAAAGTGAAGTTTATCAGAAGTCAAATAATGGAAGTAGCACATGTTATTTAATACATAATGACATGTTACCTGAGCATGTAGAATTAGATTCATCCTCTCCGTTTCCACAGTCATTGTCACCATCGCAAAGCCACCGGTTAGGGATACATCTGTTGTTCTCACATTTGAATCGATCTGATGGGCATGTGTGCTGGTCTAAGCAAAAGGAAACCAATATGAACTGTGTACCAGCTCTGTGAAAGACAATACTAACTGCCTATTATAGAAGCAGAAGCACACAACTAATGAAAGCTTTCGCATAAAACACATCCAATGTTAAACAATATGTAGAGGCATTGATTGTTCTCACAAAGACTGCCCACTTTAGAAAATGAAGGGCACAACATAATCAAACTAGAGATATGTATTTCAGCAAAGCATGGAATTTAATTGCTAAAATGTGTAAGTTGTTTCGTGCCAGAACTGCAATAGTAATTACATCTTTAAAAATGTCTGTAAACTACCAGTTAAAGGAGTACCAATGCTCCACAGTAAAATAGAGATAGCTGTGCTTACAATCAAATTATCTGTTAAGTTCTATCACAAGGCACAGAGCCAGTCCGATCGTCTTACAAGTAGTAAATGGAGCACCATGTTAAAACTGTACTCCAGAATATCAAGGCCACCAGTTTGTTGTTTGAAAACATACAACATACTTCAGTAGGCAAGTTGTTATTCAAGAACTGATTGCTAGCCCTTGCAATTAACCAAGCAAACATGTGGCCTCCAGCAGGGTCCTAAAAGGGGAACTGGTCCTTACTGCATGAACCTCCAATTGCCTTTACAGGTTGGTTACATTATCTGGCAACTTGTGTCTCTGATACAATCCATTAGCCAGTTACCTGTGTTTTTGCCCCTTATCCCAAAGGCCATAACTCAAATGTTACTTTCACAGCTCGAAATGACAATTATTTATTTTACATTACAGAGAATCCATCAGAAAAGCATGACTTTGTAATGAATGATGTGGGAAACTGGGAACTATGGTCGAGATTAAGCATTTCTCACAACTGGAATCCCCAGAGGAAAATAAAAATACAGCATGTGATTCAATTTGCCAACAACCACATCAAACCAAACCATCCATTCCTGTTGGATTGGGTCCTTAATTATTCAAATTAAATGAAAAAAGGGAAGCCATTTACTTCTCAGAATTTTACTACAAGCAATAGGGCACTTACGACACAGATCTGGGGCTTCATCGCTATTATTCCAAACAGTCATTGTCTCCATCGCACTTCCACCGTTCCTGAATGCAGCGGCTGTTCTTACATGCGAACTCCTCAGACTGGCATTGAGGGGGAGGGATGTATGATGGGTTGGCTGGGAGCAGAACAAAAGTACATGAATGCAAAGCTTGCAATGTGATATTTAAAGCAGATCCTAATTAAAGAGATCTTAAAAAACATTGGGGAATTCTATGTAGTCTATTTTTTTTAAAGTAAATGTCTTCTTTAGGGAATATATTAACATATTGAACATACCTGCCAAACAACAGGGCTGTGTTCTAAATAGAGTAATTCACTATAATATTTTACACTTTTGCTGTAAAGTAAATGTATAATCTGTTAAATGTTTTCGATAAATGTTCAAAATAAATTAGGTTGAACTAAATAATTGCATCATTATAGTGTGTTAAACCGTTTAGGTTTACATATGTAAATAGGGATAAACCTTATTTGTTTACACTCAGGCTCTACTTACCGTTCTGCAGTGCTACAAAATGGTGGTATTTGAATGGTACCCTACCATTCAAAAGTGGCCAAAAGAGGTCCTGCAATTTTGACATGGTAGGGCTTAATGTTAGCAGAAGTCAAGGCCCCATGTACATCCTGGGCTTAGTGTCCAAGGACACTCAACAAGGACTCAGAAGTTTAGAACATTAATGCAGGCAAATGTTAGATTTTTTATATGGGTGTAGAGTTGCAAGGCAAGGTACCTCTCTCTGCACACTAACCCTATGCAACCCATCAGAAATTACTCAGCTGAAGTTTTACTGACAGAGATGGATTCTGCTAGGTTGCTAAAATGTGCTTAAAAATGAGCAAACAGGAAGAAAAACTCTTTTTCTTTATCGTACATCACAGGACACAGAACAGGCTACTCATGACAATGTGGGTTATAAGCCACCCATAGGTGAATGGACACTGGCCGACCAAACGGAGATGAGGTCCTCCTCTATATAACCCCTCCTATACAGGAAGTACTTAAGATTTTAAGCCAGTGTCTGTAAAGTGAATGGTCACTGAAAGTGTTGCTGTGCTTTTGGAGCATACCTGAAGAATCCTCAAGGTTTTGCCTGTAATGCAGCCTTACCGCGCTGGACTCCGCGCAGATGGAACCCTGTGCAGTTTTAAATCTAACCAAGGAGTTTCCAGAGGGGTTCTATACGGGTCCAAGGCAGTGGCCGCTCAGCACAGGGACTAAATCCTTGAAGGTCTGTATGACAATGCCCGTCGTGATGGGTTAAGGTCGGTACCTGACAGAAGTCAGGGACCTGTGGTGGGATTGGTAAGAGACCTCCTTTTTTTCTCTCTGTAAAAAGAAACAAACAAAGCTCTAAACTGGAGGGAAAAGCAGAGGTGTTGTGACGGAGTTTCCACCAAGGGGAGTGCTCGCAATTATTCCCGAGATGTGCGGGCTCTTCTGTTTTTTGGCCACTAGAGGGAGTGCAGCCGCCGCCACGCACGTATTCACAGTAGTGACTGGAAATGGACATTGGCCATATTTGTTTAACTGAAGGCCAGGACACACATGGGCTGCTTCTGCTGGGGAATCTCCTGTGGTTGGGACACAGAGCGGGCTATTCTGCAGGGGCACGCGAGTACTCCCGAGGGGGAAGCGTGAACCAGTCAGTAAGGAGTGGCCCTAGGTGGCTCATAAGGCAGCATTTGCATTGAGTGTTTTTACTTCAGTACACTACTAGCATAGCTGTATCTTGAGATCTGTGTTTACTAGTGGAGGTGCACAGGTTTGCGCTATCTGAAGTGATGTCTTCCAGAAAACGGAGTGGGGGAGGTGCAGCAGGAAAGGGCACTAATGTACCACTGGCAGGTCCTAAGGAACCTAGCTGAAGGTTCGCTGCAATATCCTCTCCTGACAGGCCAGAAGCGACTGGGCAGTCTGTGCCGCTGCGTCTATCTTCCATTATGGCTGCTACTGGGGCTTCAGCCTCAGCATATGTAACCAAGGATAATCTTGTTTCAGCCTTAGTGGGTTTAGAAGATAGGATCACTAGGATGATTGCATCGGCTTCTTAGAGGACTAAGAAGAGGGATAGATCCCCGTCACTAGAACCACCAATCCTGGAGCAGGAATGGGTGGAGCCTGAGGAAAAGGAAGAGCTGGAGGAAGGTCAGGCAATAGAATTTCTGTCCGAGGAGTCACAGCCTGAGGAGAAGCAGGCGGTCTCTGCTTCCCAGTTTCAGAGATGTTTAGTCCAGGACATCACTTACATATGGTAAGGTCTGGATTCAGGCTACCTCCGATAGAAACCTCTGAGGTTACTTATTCTTCCCTGGGCTCTTTGAAGCCTTCACAGAGTACTCAGGCCTTCTCCTCTGGAGCAAATTATGTATGCCAACTGGGATAACCCAGTTTTTGTTCCACCAAAGAGGTTTTCTTTCTTGTACCCCACGGAACAAAAGTTTAAGCAATAAGGGTTGTCAGTGGGTGGATGCAGTGGTTTCATCCCAGAATAAATCTTTAACATGTCCTGTGGATAATGTACAGGTTTTCAAGGACCCAGTGGATAAGAAACTGGAGTCTCTCCTTAAGGCCTCCTTCTCCCTGGCAGGTTCTGTCGCACAGCCAGCTGTGGCAGCTATTGGCATTTCTTTTTGACCTTGTCAAGCAGCAGATTGGAGGACCATCAGTGCAGGGGGAATGCTAGGCGGAGGATTTGGAGGATGTTCTGCATGCTTTGTGTTTTGAAGTTGATGCTCTTAAGGACTCAATTCAGCAAATTTCCCACTTGGCCCTCTTATCAGTGCACATGTGCAGGGTTTTGTGGATGAAGAGTTGGTCGGCAGAACTATCATACAATAAATTATTGGCAGGTTTTCCCTTTCATGGGGATTGGATGTTTGGGGAAGATTTAGAGAAATCTATCCAAAAGATTTCAGGGGGTAAGAGTGCTCTTCTGCCCTCTAAGAGGAAATCCAAACGCCCTTCTTTTAAGGTGTCAGGGTCTATGGTTGCTTGGCCCTCATCTACCAAGTAGTCGTTTTGCCACACACATGTCCCAGCCTCCAGATGAATCGGTTCCCCCACCTGTTCAGGTTGGGGGGGAAGGAGAAGACTTTTGAATTTTGTGGATGCATTGAGGGCTCTAATCCAAGACAAATGGGTCATTACCAGAATTTCGCTGGGGTACAAGCTAGAATTTCGGAAATTTCCCTCTCCCTAGGTTCTAAGATCAAATTTACCAATAAATCCAGTGAAAAGAAGAGCTTTATTTCAGGCACTCGATTGTTTATTGTCTCAGGGAGTGATCATGAAGGTTCCAGCGGATGAAAGATTTCAGGGGTTTTATTCAAACCTGTTTACAGTCCCAAGACCAAATGGGGATGCAAGGCCCATTTTGGATCTCAAGGGGCTAAATCAGTTCCAAAATGTCTGATCCTTTCGTATAGAATTGGTTTGGTCTGTAGTGGCCTCCCTACAGGAGGGGGATTTTTTTGCCTCCATAGATAATCAAGGATGTGTACCTGCATGTACCGATATTCATTCCTCACCAATGATTTCTGCAATTTGCAGTAGAGGCTCAGCATTTCCAGTTCACAGCACTACCATTAGGGCTGGCCAGAGCCCCCAGAGTTTTCATAAAAATTCTTGCTCCAGTGTTGGGGATACTCAGAACTCGGGGAGTATCGGTCCCAGGTTATCTAGACTATCAATTGCTCAGAAATCGGTCCATGCCAGATCTGAAGCAGGATGTGGTCCTTTAGATGCAGATCCTCGAACAGCTGGGCTGACTCCTCAACCTCAAGAAGTTGGCCCTGGAACCAGTGCAGAGCCTGGAGTATTTGGGGATGGTCCTAGACATAGTTAAGGCAAAGGTATTTCTGCCTCCAGGGAAACGTTGCACCCTGAGGAACAAGGTTTGCAGTTTGAAGGCCAAGAGGTATCCTTCAATTCGCCTCTGTATGAGGTTGCTGGGGAAGATGGTGTCCTCATTCGAGGCTATTCCTTATGCTCAATCCCACTCCAGATATCGTATGTACTCTCCAGCGCTTCGGGAAATGGACAGCCAAAGGGAAGCCAAGGGAGCCAGGACAGAGATAACCAAAAGGAGATGCTTCAGGGGTGCAGCCCTCCTCAGACAGGGAGATCGCTGCAAAGGTACATTGTCTTTTTGAAGAGTAAATTGGTGGTTGATAACGCACAATTTTGAGAAGGGAAGATCCTTTCAGTCAATGGTGTGGAAGTTGTTAACCACCGATGCCAGCCTTTCACGCTGGGGGGCTGTTCTGGAGGAGGTCACAGTTCAGGGAACATGGCTTCCACGGGAAAGGGTTCTTCCCATCCATGTCCTGAAACTTCGAGCAGTGAGACTGGCTCTCAGGTATTGGACATCCAGGCTCCAGGGATGACCTGTAAGGATTCAGTCCGACAATGCCACAGCAGTCGCATACATCAATCACCAGGGCTGTACTAAGAGTCGAGGTGCTCAGTAGGAGGTGAGCTACATTCTGACCTGGGCAGAGAGATATTTTCTAAATCTGTCAACAGTGTTCATTCCAGGTGTAGAAATTTGGCAGGTGGATTATCTCAGTCCCTGGCAGTTGATTCCAGGGGAATGGGCTTTGCATCCCGATGTTTTCAGGGAAACCTTCCAGCGATGGGGTTGCCCAGATGTAGATCTATTGGCATCCAGGTTCAACAATGAGGTTGGTCTTTTTGTGTCCAGGGTAAGGGACAATGCAGGGCATGGGTAGACACCATATTGATTCCTTGGAACCTGTTCTCACCGATTTATGCCTTTCCTCTGATCCAGCTGCTGCCGTGTCTCTTACACAAGATTTGGGAGGATTCTATTCCGGTGATACCGATTGCTTTGTCCTGGCCCAGGAGGGTCTGGTACGCAGACATAGTGAAGATGTCAGTAGACGGGCTGTGGGCACTACCATATCGGCCAGATCTGTTGTCTCAAGGTCCTGTATTGCACCCAGCTTTACGGTCGCTAAATTTGACAGCGTGGCTATTGAAACCCAGTTCCTGAAGGATAGGGGAGTGTTGGATTCTGTCATCCCCATCATTTTGGGTGCTAGAAAGTAAGTTTCTAGGAACATTTAATAGAGAACCTGGAAGGCTTACATTGCCTGGTGTAAGGTTCACAAATTGCTGCCACAAAAGTATGTGATTGGCAGGATTCTGTTGCTTCTTCAAACAGGGTTGCAGAACAATTTGGCAGTTGGTACCATTTAAGGACCAGGTTTCAGCATTAGCTATTTTTTTTCCCAAGAGGCCCATTGCGTCTCACTCTTTGGTCCACACTTTTTTACAAGGAGTTATGCGTATGGCTCCTCCTGTCAGGTTGCCTTTGTGTCCTTGGGACCTGAACTTGGTTTTGGAGGTTTTGCAAAAGCCACCATTTGAACATATTGGAAAGATTTCACTGATCCTGTTAACTCATAAGGTGTTGTTTCTATTGGCAATTACTTCTGTGAGAAGGGAGTTGGAGCTGGCAGCTCTATCTAGCAGAGAACCATTTCTGGTTTTGCATCATGATAAGGTGGTGTTGCGACCTCATCTGTGCTTTTTACCAAAGGTGGTTTCTAGCTTTCATCTCAATCAGGACATAGTTCTGCCTTTGTTCTTTCCTAGGCCTCAGTAGCAAGAGAAAGATCTCTGCATACCTTGGATGTGGTATGTGGTGTAAGGGTCTTCTTGAAGACAACAGCACAGATCAGGAGTTCAGATGCTCTATTTGTGCTGCCAGAGGGGCCTAGTAAGGGGCAGGTGGCATCCAAGTCAACCACTTAAGCCTATGGTTTGTAAGGTAAAATCCCACCCTTTCAGGTGAAGGCACATCCTTCCAGGAGTGTGGGGGCATCTTGGGCAATCCACCATCAGGCGTCAGTGGCTCAGGTTTGCAAGGCCGCTACATGGTCTTTGGTTCACACATTCACAAGGTTCTACCAGGTGGATGTCAGAGCCTCAGAGGATTCTGCCTTTGGCAGTGTTTTACGGTTGGCTGAGAAGGTCAGGAGGGATTATGGATGGTGGCTATCATGGTATCATCCTCCCCTCAAATTTCTTATTGCTTTGGGACATCCCACACAGTCATGAATAGCCTGCTCTGTGTCTCGTGATGTACGATAAAGAAAATTGGATTTTTTCGACATACTTACCTGTAAAATCCATTCTTTGGATTTTACAGGCAAGTACATCACGGGACACAGAGGTCCCGTCCCTCTTTCTGGAATTTTCATTGCTTGCTACAAAAACTGAAGTACTTCCTGTACAGGAGGAGTTATATAGGGGAGGACCTCCTCTTATTGGTCGGACAGTGTCTATTCACCTATAGGTGGCCTAACACCCACATAGTTATGAATAGCCTGCTCTGTGTCCCATGATGTACTCCAAGAAATGTATTTTACATGTAAGTATGTAGAAAAAATCCAATTATCTCAGTATTGAGGAGGTAACACAATATTGCCTTATAAAATTTAAACAATCTACATTTCACTATTTTTCTCAAGTATCAACTTCATCAGTTTAAAGTCGGTCTATCTATCGAGCTTCCTTATGCAACTTCTCTGCTCCTTTTTTGTTTTGTTGGTTTCAACAAAAGTGAAAATACACTTGCTAATCTACAGACAGATTTAGTCAACTTAAAATACTTTATCGGATAATGCTGTACATACGGATAGTGATTTCATGCAACCTTAAATCAAATGTAATCTATTTTTTTAAATGGAGGGAATATCGAGAAGGATCCGTTTTTTTTTTTTTGTGTTTTTATGTTTTCCCAATTGGACTACTTTCACTTTTTTACAAATAATTTCAACATCACAATTTTTTTTCATGTATGTGTTTCAAAGTTACTTAAAAAAAAACAAAAACAAATTGTAGCAGCCAAAGAGCATAATGTGTCAGTCTTATATAAACAGACCTAATATTTTACATAACAAGAAATCTGAGGGGTGTAAAAATCCACAAAAAAATTATATATAACTGTAAGGTCATAAAGCAAGTAACACGTATATTTACCTTTACAGGTGACACCATCCTCATCGAGAATCTGGTCTTCAGCACAAGCGCACTGCCTGCTTCCAGGTATGGCCAAGCACAGGCTGCTGCAGCCACCATTGTTTACACGACAAGCATTAGAACCCACTTTAAAGGCAAAATACAGAGGCATCAGAATTTAAAAAAAAAACAAAACAAAAAAAAAAACCCTACAAAACCCACATATAATGATCACTTTTGTCAAAACACATTTTTTATCTATAAATTGTAGCTTTTTGGGGAACAGAAAATAGTACATTAGGGGACCCTACATTGCAATTGCCTCAACAAGAGGTTTATAATAAAAAAAAAAAAAATATTTAAAAACTCTGTGCGTCCACACATAGAAACATAAATGCATGTGGCAGGTGTGCCAATGTATGAAAAAATGTAAGGTATCATCACCAAAACGAGTGAGAGCAACAATTCTAGAGCCATCACTCATGCTTAACACCAAACTGAAAATCTGCAAAGCCTTTTAAACACCATCAATAATTTTGAGTATCAAAGTTTGTCGCTGTGTCACTGGCACGTAAAGCACAAAAGGGTTGACAATTTTGGTATTTACTCACTGAATCTTTTATATTTTACCAAAAAAGTGGGTCATATATTATGTGTGTGGTCTCACCAAACTTGTGTGCAGTTTAACATGTGTATAAAAACTGAAAATGGCTCTGGTAGCAACATGTTTACCACTACTCTAACTTCCCAAGTTAAAAAAAAAAAATCTTATTTCATTTCTACATCATAAATAATGATAAAATATTTTGGGAATTAAATAACCGTCGCTACTACATAAAAACTGCTTTACATAACAGTTTTTATTGTAGGACACCGTGGAACCAAAGCCTGCTGATCAGGGGCCTTTAAGAGCTCAGTATGACATGGGAGCAAAGCATGCTGAAAAGGAAGCTCTGAGAGCAGATCTGTTGAAAGATTTCTGGAGGGTTACCAAGCTGGAAATGTTTCTCTTACATTGTAGAAGGATATGAAGGGGAATGACTGTCAGAACGCATGGGGCCACTTGCTTTTTTTTTCATCATTTTACACCTTGAATGTACTCAAGTATGCAAATTATTTGTGAATGTTCTTTACCAATAATATTGCAACTGAATAATCTGAGTATATAATAACGTTTTTCTTTTAAGACTTCTAAATTTTTGATTTGTTGGATATAACAAAGAATAAAAAAGAATGAACAAAAATCTAAGAGATATGCTCCCAATATACCTACAGAGTACATTTTTATTTACTATAAAGAGAATGATAACTAGGTATATTTGTGCAAATAGAAAACCAAGAGTAAAGTATAACATTTATGTAAGGACAAAACAATTGGGGGGTTAAACGTTCCGGATTTTAAGAGGTACTATCATTCTGTGTTAATTTCACAAATAGTAGATTGGAAAAGTTGTGTAAAAATGCAAAAAGACACTACATAAATCACAATTAGATTAGGATTATTTGGATTCCACAGCAGTTTTGTAGAGTAGATGAAAATACGACACGTTATGTAATGAGGGTTCACGAAGGGGGTGGGAATATAACTCACTGTTAATTCTGTTGGTGGGTTCAGAGTTTTTCCCACCAAGGAAAGATAATATTGAAGGAAAATTGGGGCATTGGGGTGACAGAGGAATACACTGTGGGGAGTTCTCTTAGTGCTCTCAGGCCGGGTAACTGATTTACTTATTCTGGCCCCCAAAGTAATAGAACAGAAGTGGCATTAATCGCTAAAAATAAAAGAAAAAGAGCCTCTCCCTGGGGACAATTTTCTCTGTATTAAAATGGAAAACCCAGTGCAAGGATACACAGGTGATTACCTGTGGCAGTTATTGGAAGCTGAGATAATAGAAAAGTAACAGGAGAGTTGAACCAGGAATGAAGGGAAAATAAGCTAAAGGTGGGGGCTCGAAAACCTCCCAACCGAATACGAATGCCACTACAATTAAAAAATATATGCCCCTTCAGAAGAATAGTCCGGAGACTCGAACTCAGGAAAGTCAACAAGGAAGGGAACCAGACTAACAAATCAATAAGTTTGGGTAGTGTTATGGAACAAAGTGACACAGAACAACAAGGAGCCATGTCACAACACAAAAACAGATATGGCAGAAATGTTCGCGAAACTGGAGATGTCTTTGAAAAATGAGATGGGGGCACAACGCAATGTTTAGGTCAGATATTAACGCGTGTGGAAGAAGTAAAAGGGAGAATGGAGGCACAAGCTCAGTTAATCAATAAATTAGAAATGCGGAAGGAGGAGATGTGCAGAGAGCAGAGAAATTTCTCATTTAAATTGGAACATCAGGATAAATGTGACAGAAGAATCTAAGGATCCAGGGCTTACCAGAGGAAGAACAGGAAGAGGACTTAGTGGAGAAAATTAAGAGAGTGTGTAACTCAGTAATGGGAAGACCAAAATCTGAAAATTGAGAGAGTACATAGGATTTGACGGCTAAAAGGAGTAACGGCGGAAAACCCCAGAGACTTGATAGTTTGGTTTCATCATTACAAAGATAGAGAAAGAATATGGAAAAGCTTGCGGGACACTACTGAATTAAAATATGAGTAAACAAAGTTGTAAATTTTCGCTGACAATGCTCCAGAGACACTGGCTAGAAGAAGATTGCTGTAACCGTTGTTGGAGCACAAGAAAGAGAAAAAAGTTTGATATAATTAGGGCTTTCCAGCCTGCTTGATTGGATAGAAAGATGGAAAATTGGCAAGGCTGAAGTTACCAGAAGATCTCAGTAACGTTTGTGAGAAATTAGACTTACAGAAAAAAAGACCTTGAAGGGTGGTCAGAGGGGCTTAAAGAGAGAGGAGGGTCGGGGTCAGATAAATGGCAGCGGGTATCTAGGAAAAAGAAATAGGGAATCATGGTGTGGGGGGGATAGGCTTGGAGAGAGGGGGCTGTCCTTTTTTCTTTTTTTTTCTTCCCTCTCTCTTCTCTCCTCTCTCCGTTTGCTGATCCTCTGCCCGCCACATCCCTCCTTTCCCTGCGAGATGGCGGGGGGACAGATGGAGGAGTAGACAGGGCATGGATCTGGCGGGTGGCCTGGAGGTCAAGCACGCTGTCATCTCCAATCTGACGGATGTTATCAAGCAAGGGATTGGAGTGGGCATGAGTGTTCTAAGTCTCACCCCAAATTAGGAATCGCGAGTGGAAACAATCCATGTCAGATTCCAGGGCAATATGTAGACCATGAGGGTTTTAGGGGTAAGAAAAGTAGGGGGAAATGAAGGTGGGAATCGGGGTGGTGAGAGGGAGAATGGGGGGGGGGGGAGGGGGGAGTCTTTGGTGGCGAAAGGGGAACATCCATATCTTAAATTGTCTATGTCTGTCTTCCTTCAATGGGAAATCTGGTAGAGTGGTGAATTAACAGTAGAAATGAGCCTAAGTTTATGACTTATGTGAAAGGGTTAAATTTTCCGACAAAGAGACATAAGATACTGAGGGAAATCCTTCATCCCTCCATAGATGTAGTGTTTCTTCCAGAGACACAACTCACGATACAAACGTCAAGTTATGCTTGAAGTTTTATCCATGGTGTTATTATGCTGATTCTCCAATTAAAAAGGCCAAAAGAAGTAGCAATTGGGTTTTCAAAAAATGTAGACTTCACCCTGGAAGGGAGATTAGAGGACCCAGAGGGTCAGTTTCTATTCCTGAGGGGAAAATTACAAGGATCTGATTACACATTAGTTAATATCTACTGTCCGAATAAAAGCCCAGTAACAAGTTAACAGCTTCACATTAAGACCTTTTTGCTGCTAACTATCCCCCAATGCTCACATCTGTATCTTCTTTAATGATTCGCTGGTCCTCGCTTCCAATTTACTGGATAGGTAGAACTAACGTTCTTAAGATGGTTATTTTACCAAAATTACTATATCTCTTTTGAGTCTTGCCGATCTCTGTCCTGGCCTACTTCCTTCGTATTTTGCAGAGGCGAGCCTTGTCTTATGTTTGGGGCACGAGAAAAAACGTGGATACCTAGCTCCACATTGTTTCTCCCCAAACCCTGTGGTGGGCTGGGTTTACCTCACTTTTCCTCCTACTACTATGCGGTGCAGCTAGCTCAATTGCCTAAGTATCATAATGTTGCTGAAACCCCTTTATGGGTTTCCATAGAGTCAGTTGATTGTGACCCCCTGATGGTAGCTAACCTGTTATGGCTTCGTCTGGCATATTGAACCGTTTTTCATAACCCGTCACAAAACATTCTCTGTCTACCTGGGATAGATTCAAGGCTACATACGGATTGCAATCCGATAACAATCCATTGCCCTCCTTTTTCAAAAACCCTGCTTTTCTTCCGGCTTGGGAAAGTCCTACCTCGTTTCATGTTTGGAATGCCATGGGCCTTATACACCTATATAAACTAGTCAATGCATCATCTTTTCTGTCCTTCCCCACTCTCTGCGACTCCTTTGGCCTTCCGCATTCTGAGATATTTCACTACCTACAGATAAAACACTTTTACTCCTCCGACAACACAAGTCCTGAAGGATTGACTCATCTTTCCCAATTTAAACGGACATGCCTTAAAGATCCACATGCCAGAGACCTTGTTTCCTCCTTTATAAACAGATTATTTTTAAACCTAATTGTGACACACCATCTTATGTTACAAAATGGGAGAGGGATTTGGGCCTCCTGTTGGACCCAGATGACTGGAGGGAGATCTGGCAGGTTGCCAAGTCCTCCTCCTCCAATGTAGTGGCATTGGAAGCCAATTATAAGGTTCTGACCAGGTGGTATCTTGTACCCAAAAGAATTGCTAAATTTGCTCTGAACAGTTTGGCGCTCTGTTTTCATGGCTGTCCCCACTTGGGCACATTTTTGGCACATTTGGTGGGAATTGCCAGTGGCTTGTTCGTTTTGGGCACAAATTGTTATTCTTGCCTCTATCCTGTTTGAGACGAACATTAACACCTGACCCGACTACTGCCCTTCTTAATTTCAAACCTGCTGCATTGACTCGCATACAATTTAAACTTCTTCAGCTTTTGACAGCCGCTAAACAGACTATAGCTCAGACATGGAGATCCCCCCACTTAACTATCATGCATCCACTGTTACCTTTTTGGATCTACAGGTTCACAAGGATCAGAATAACGGTTTAGCAACTACCCTTTTTTCGCAAAACTACAGCTGGCAACACAATTTTGTATGCAGCCAGTGCCCACCCCCCTGGCCTTAGTACAGAGTATTTCATATGCACAGTATGTCCATATTAGACACAATTGCACACATGACAGGGACTTTAAGATTCAGGCCAAACAACTGCCTCAACGTCTCCTGTTAAGAGGATATTCAAAATCACTGTTACGCAAAGCCTATAATAGAGCTTTAGGACAATCGAGGACCTCTCTTCTGTACCGGTCCACTAGACATGGCAGTTCCCAACATCAGATAAAAGTTATCACTAAGTTTTCGTCCCAACATCAGGCCCTATGTGGGGTCTTACAAAATCACTGGCATTTATTGTTGAAGGACCCGATTGCAAGAAAATATATCAACAATTACTAAATTGTATTTAGGAAAGCTACGTGACAAACTCACTAAGAGCCATTATATGCCTTATCCAACTTATACTAAAGTCCACTCTGCAGGGATGTATAAATGCAACCAATGTAATCTATGTTCTTTGATCAAATCAGGTAAAGTATTTACCTTACCAAACAAGGAATCTTCCACCACAAATTTTTGTGCGGATTGTGACGCCGAAGGTGTGATGTGTTTTATGAGCTGCAAATGTAAGGGGCCTTCTATGTGGGCAAAACTATTAAGAAATTATGGTCCAGAATAAGTGATCACATCTACTACTCTGCCAATGGCAAAATGATAATTGACTGGTTAAACAGAGTGGAAAATATTTATAGGATGGAGGAGCTATATCACATAGAGGAGGAAAAAAAAAGAAAAAAATCAGGAAAACGTGTAGTTGGGTAAATTTTAAAATATCTAAAAGATACCTGGAGTTGGTCGGAGCTTAGGGGGTAAATTTAGAGATGGTCTATCGGATTACCCAAAAGAGAGAGAGGAGGTGGGTGAGAATGGATACGGATATAGATAGATAATTATGAGTGAAGATGGAAACTATGTATAAGGATGTGGATAGGGGTGGACGGAAGGGTGGGGAAGGGAGGTTGGGTGATGTAAAATGGAATTTATATACATGTGATGTGTTTGTATATCAGGTGTTTTTTTTGTTTTTGTACTGGAAAATTCAATAAATTAAAAAAAAAAAAAAAAAAGATATGAATGCTGTAGAAATGAATTATACATTTACGGTTCGATGGTACATTACATCAAGTGTGGCTCATAAACAAAGGCCGGAGCTTTCACCTTTATGTTGGTGGGGATGTGGAAGTAAGGGAACAATGGTACATATATGGTGGGAGTGCCCTAAAATCCAGGAGTTTTGGTGAATAATAACCCAGTATATACAAGAACGGACATTAAAGTGAAGGATTATAACAATATGTTGATATTTCATTTAATAATTGCGGCAAAAGGACTTATCCCCAAATTTTGGCAGGTCCAGGAGACCCCAAAAAGAAGATTGGATAAAAAGAGTGGAGTATATATACAGGATGGAGGAACTATACCATATCGAAGAAGATAAAATGGAGAAATGTATAAAAACATGGGAAAGATGGTATGAATTTAAAATATCAAAAAGATACCTTGAACTGATTGGAGTATAAAAAAAATAGGGAGAGATAAAAGATAAGACGGAAGGTTTTGAGGAGTGATAGAATTGAGAAGAATAGAGAGGAGCGTGGCGAAGATAGATGGATAAATATGAGAGAAACAAGAAGTGGTGGAGGGGGTAGGATGTGGTGGGAACGGGGGGGGTGGGTGAAGGGGGTAGGATGTGGTGGGAATGGGGGGGGGGGGGAGGGTATTGGATTACATTTTGTGAGAAAGTTTTTGTTATGTAATGTTTTGAGATAAAGTGGTTTTGTAAAAAAAATTCATAAAGATAAAATATAAAAAAAAAAAAAGTCCAAGAGATAAAACCTTCACAGTTCTCATCACTGAATCTGTATTAAAGTGGTAGTGAAGTCAAAATTTAAAATGTCGCTGACATGCAGGGTCTATATAACAGAAGAGCCCCTAGGGGCCTCTTCTGTCATAAATCTCCCCTTTGACGGTTAGCGGTAATGTGATCTGAGCTTGTGCATGCACAGCTCAGACCACATTTACAGCCCTGCGTGCCACTGTAATGTGACTCCTGTGCACATGAGTGGGAGTGATGTCATCATGGCAAGGCCACTCAAGCGGCTAAACATAAGAGACCAAGAAGGAAGACCACGTGAATATGGAAGTGCCGGGGGAGCCATTACAGTGCTGAACTGGAGGACTCCGTTTGCAGGAAAGACTGTCATTATGTGCTAGTATTCAGTGCATACTAGTACATTATGAATTATACCTGCAGGGGCCCATATACAGTATTTAACATTTTTGTGGCAACTTTCCAAATTTTAAAGCAACAAATATTCTTGGGTTATTTTGTCAGATACTCACCTTGCTGCTGCTGTGCATCATACATTCGGATTTCAAAGATTGGTGGTCTTTCGTTTCTCAGAAGTGTAACAGTTTTTGAGACTTGATCCAGCCTATAGATGCTACCACTTTCTGTATTCTGTCCAGAAAAGAAAGTTACCGTAGTGGCACAGACCAAATGCATGATTCAGCTCTGGACCTTCATATACCGCCTAACAAGACAAAAATAAATAAATTAAAATATTTAATCTCCTACACGCAGTAACTTAAAAAGATAGGCAATCTCTTCCATAAATATTAAATGTCTATCAATAAAAATGTCCCCTTAGTCTCACCTCCTTCCATATGTTATGGAGATAAAGAGAGGCGGAGGATGTCTGTACTAACACGCTATCCTGCGACAACTATGCTCCTCACTTTATTCAGTACAGTGAGCAAGCACTATCACCCTGGGAAAAGTAGTATGTTACTAGCAGGATTCACCGGGTGAAAAAAAAACACATGCAGCCACCATTTCTCTGCCTGGTAAGCTGCAGTATATAACAACATATAAATTGTTTTCTAAACTGTAGACACGCTTTAAAATGCACTTATAAAAGACAGAAATATGGATTTTGCCATTACTAGCTGCATGTTTGTTACAGGTCAGCGGCTCACTATTTTTTTTTAAGGCCAAGGACAGGATGAATTTCCTTTAAAAAGTTTTTAAAAAAAGTTAAGAAATGACAACTCTTATACTTCTAATTTCACAGATTCCCTTTAAGAGTTAAAAAAAAATCATTCTGAAAAAAAAAAAATGCACAATTATAAAAGAGAAGCTTACATCTTTCATTTGATAGGGGGAAATCTGAAAGTGATGGGCTAGCCCAGCAATGGGCAAACTACGGCCCGGTGGACCTTTTAATCCGGCCCGCGGAGCTAAGCTCCCGCTAGGCTCCTCTCACAGTCCGCCCTGAAGACCGCTGTAGCATGAAAATCTGTCTCCTATGAGGATCTGTCCCCCTCGACGTATCTGCGCATGTGCCGGAGATCGCCGATCGGCTGCTAATGCCTGAAACTGGCACATGCGCAGATACGTCGAGGGGGACAGATCCTCATAGGAGACAGATTTTCATGCTACACCGGAACGGAACACGGCGAGAGGAACGCGCGGAGCAAAGGTATGAATTACTATGGGGGATGAATTACTATATGGGGGATGAATTACTATGGGGGATGAATTACTATGGGGGGGATGAATTACTACATGGGGGATGAATTACTATGGGGGATGAATTACTATATGGGGGATGAATTACTATGGGGGATGAATTACTATATGGGGGATTAATTACTATGCTTACTATGGGGGAATATTACTATACTTACTATGGATGACACATACACATCATTCATCTACTCTTGGTCCGGCCCCCGGGTCCAATATATGAACCCATTGCGGCCCTCAAGTCAAAAAGTTTGCCCACCCCTGGGCTAGCCCATAATAAGCAATTAAATTGATGTCCCAAAGGTGAGCACAACTGAAATGAAACCTGATTAGCTGCTGCAGACAACAAAAACCTATGTCCTTTACCTTGCTTTTCATAAGCTATTTCTACTAATATATGTAATTCCCTCAATATTCCCCTCTCAGGGGTCTGAAGAATTCAAATTACCATGTATATGCTACAAACATTTTTCTAACCTTGCGGGCAGTTCCGTTAAGGTAAACCATTTCAATGCGGTCATAAAAGGCATCTACCCAATAGAGAATCTTGTTTGGAATGTCAATACTTAGTCCATTGGGCCAAAGAACTGCTTTTGATGTGACAAAAATGTTGCGGTTGGAACCATCCATCCAGGCTCTTTCAATTTTTCCACGCTTGCTATCCTTGGGATCTTCCTCCCAGTCTGTCCAATACATCCACCTTGAAATATCAAGGAAATTAACATTGCAGAAAATCAGACACAGAAACATAAAGACAAGAAAAGAAAAATCCTAAAGCCTAGTAAAGACAAAACAACAAAACACATGTTTGCTGCAGTAAACTTTCACCCTCAGTAGTTTTTTTCTGCCACTACACGTCCTCAACATTCCTCTGATCCCAGGTCATCCTGGACCAGTGCCAGACTGTAACTAGACAGTGAAAGGAAAGACAGTACAGTATGTCACTCCACTCTCTCCTCCTATCAGCATGCTTTATGCCAGCTCAAATATGGATTTCTTTCCAGTACAAACGCTTCCTTTCACAATAAAGCCCTTTTTATACAGGACTACATAAGGTTTATACCAAGTTGAATTCAGGTATTTTACAGTGCTTGCATTTTAAAATACACTAAGGTATGCATTTATGATTGCATTCAGTTGTGTCTTTTATTCAGTTTAAAAGCATAACAAAACTGTAATATACTGCAGCTTTCCATAAGCTTTCTCTAGATGTGGTGGCTGCATTATTTTTTCCCCTCAAGAATGTTTTTACAGCATATACCTGTTGATCTTTCCATTGTAGTTTTCTAGTTAAGATTTATATTTAGGGCTCTATAAACTCTATAAACAGATTATATTGCTTAAAATAGATGACAATGTATTAGGTGCACTAAATACAATGCAGAACCCACGCTTTAAGATATAAAAACCCTTTGTTAGGACAGAGTGTTTTCAAAGCTTATCTACAACTGAAAATCAGATCTGCCAGCAAAGTACAGACAGGGTTAATTATGGTAAACATAACTCCAAAGCTCCTCCCTAAATGTTACAAAGCAGGGAGAGCTAGATAGGATTTTTAAACAAAAAAAATAAATGAAAAAGCTAAGCAAGAATTGTGCAGAATACAGGTGAGTTTGCCATTAATCATAATCCAGTTAAGTTTTTTTTTTTAACATAATCAAGTTGAATGACCAATGTGTGGCTATAGTAATTCTCGCTGCCAGAAACATATATGAAATCAGTTATGGGAATTCTTGGTAGCATTACCTGGAAATTTGTGAAAGAACGCCATCTCCGAGGATCTGTGAATATTTATACCTGTCACTGTGTTCACCAAATTGAATATTCGAATCCAAAACCTAGTGACAAGCGGGCATTGCCACCAAATGTGAAACATAGACCCAACCTGGCCACAATGCCGGAAACACATCGCAGAAGCAGACAGATGCATCCTTGCAATGCAGGTGGAGACCAGATACCATCTCAACAAAGTTTTGTAATTTGCTTCAATTAATGTGGTATTGATAGAGATCTTGTGCACTGCTAAGGCAATAATTTGCCATTCTGATAAGTCATAATTCACAGTTAAATCTTTTTCCCAATGTTCCATATAAGGGAGTTTACAATTTGGGTCAGTGAGGAGAGCATATATTAGAGACCCGAGCTCTTGGAGAATCCCTATTTCTGCAGGAAAGTTCGAAGTTGGCGAGCAAGGGTGACTCATCCAATAAAGCGAGCTTCGAGCCAATCTGGTTGTATCTGAAGATTTCAGTAATAGGCATATGTAACTTGAAATATTGCAGAGAATGTATATGAATACCATTAAGATAGTCCCCTATCCGCCTTTATTGATCCACCAATGGTGGAGCCTTTATTGATCCACCATTGAAAGAGGGCCGGTGTTAAACCCGGCACAAATTCAGAGTTGCAGAAAATCGGAGCAATAGGGGCATGTGGGGATGCCAGTGACTTACGATGTCGTACCCTGTGTCAAATAAAACGACAAAGTGGGGCACAATCGATTATGGAGCCATAGTAATACACCATTAGCTAAAGGGTGACAGGAGAGAGCTTCGATAGAAACCCAATGGGGGGTATGTCCCCCAACCGTGGCATAAGCTGATTTGCACGGCTTGAAGTATGCATGGAGATTAGGGAGGCCAACACCACCCTGCGATCTGGAAACATACAGTGTTTTCTTGTTCATCCGAAGCAGTCTAATATTCCAAATAAAATGAAGAACCTCAGCTTGTAGGGGCCGTAAGTCTTGTCGCGGAATCGCCATCGGTAAGGTCCTAAAATATTATAGTAGTCGAGGCAAAAACCATAAGAAATTCTAAGATGTTGCTCTTCAGATACAGGCAAGGAAAGACTAAGGGGAATTGTTTTTTGGGAATTTGGGGAAAGCCCAGAAAGTGGAAAATTGGTGTAATAATGCAAGTAAATTGCGAATAGCTATAGAAGGGGGAGTAATATACATAAGAACGTCATCGGCAAATAGGGCATATTTATGTTCCTGTTGTCCGCAACGGATGCCATGGATTTGGGGATGAGACCGAACAGCCATAGCCAAGGGTTCGATGGCCAGCACAAAAAGCAGCGGGCAAAGTGGACAGCTCTGTCTAGTCCCTCTGCGGTCAGGAACATGGAAGATTTGCAACTTTTACTGGAAACCTGGGCCGAGGGATTAGCATATAACGAATGCAGCAGGGCAAGAAACATCGGGCCAAATCCAAAGGCCTGCAAGGTAATAAATATTCTCACGTCAGACTATCAAAGGCCTTGTGAAGGTCTAGAGAAAGAAGTAAGACGGCGCTAGAGAGAGGAGCATCACAATTGGAGCGGGCAGCCAATATCAAAGTAATAGATCTACAAATCTGGTCCAAGGTTTAATGTCCTGATATAAATCCCGACTGGTCTTTATGAATATATTGTGTCAAAAAGGAGTTAAGGCGTACAGCTAGGAGTTTCGTTAAAATTTTCAGGTCGCAATTAATTAATGAAATAAGACGATAATTATGAACATCAGTGGAATTCTTATTAGGTTTAGGAATGACACTGATATATGCTTTATTCTCATCTAAAGGGAACACCCCCTCCTCTCACAATGGGTTAAAGTATATTGTCATATGAGGAAGTAAGTGTTCACAAAAAAATTTGTAATACTGGTTGGGGAGGCCGCCAGGGCCTGGAGATTTATGTAACGGTGGTGATTTAATAATTTTAAGGAGCTCCTCAGAAGTTGTTCCATAAGCTTTCTATGGGCTTCAGTAAGCGAAGGGATAGGCAAGGACTCTAGGAAGGAATGAATAGAAGATGGTTCCGTTGGCTGCGGTGGACCATATAGAGATGCATAAAAATTATGAAATTCCGGAAGATTCTTCTGAGGATCCTGCGTAATAGTACCCCCTGTCTTCCGGAGATTAGGTAGTGTTGATTGAGTAAATTTAGGGGCAAACTTACATGCAAGGAGAGAACCTGGTCTATCTCTCCATGTGAAATATTTATGATTCATCCAATATAATTTTTTTCCCGCCCTCGTAGTGAGGCAAAGATTAAGCTCCAGCCGGGCGTGTTCCATCTTACATAAAAGATCTGGGGTTGGGGTAATTTTATGGTGAGCAGTCAACGATTCGTATTCTCTAGATTTGGTAGAGATCAGCACTTTGCGGAATTTTTTAATTCTGGAGGACAGCTGGATATAGAAACCTCAAACCAAGGCTTTATGTGCAGCCCAGTCGTATCCTCCGCTTTGTTAATCACAAAATAGGATTTTAGATGTTCACACACGTCCAAGCAACAAGCTTTATCACTTAATAGGGATTCGTTTAATCGCCAGCGTGGTTTAACCATTTTAACCATCAAATTAGAAAGCATTAAGAGTAGAGGGTCGTGGTCCAACCAAGGTGTCGGTATAATTTTAGCTGAACGTAGCTTGGTAATCATGTTCAAGGGGAGGAAAACATGGTCTATACGAGAATAATGACTATGAGCCCTAGAAAAATGGGAATAGTCTCTCGGCGTGGGGTTGGCCTCCCTCAACGCATCAATTAGGTCATGGTGATGTACAAGCTGCGCACAATCGCAGCTTTGTTTAGAAAGTGATTTAAGTTTGGTCATATGGGATTTATCACGTATATGGTCTAACGCCAGGTTTGATTCTCCCGCTAAAAGAGAGAATGGAAAAAGGACACCTGGTTTATATTAGGAGCACAGTAAGTAAGAAAAGACACCATACTACCCTCTAAATGGCCTTTCACCAGAAGGTATCTTCCCTCCCTATCCCTGAGAACTTTAGTTTCAGTAAATGATAACCGTTTAGAGAAACAAAGTCGGAAAATCCCTATTAATATATCTGGGAGTAAAGTTAGGGGAGAAATGTGTTTCCTGTAGAACCACTATATCGGCCCCCAGAGACTTGTAATTGGAAAATATCTTGAGTCGCTTAGAAAGGGACCCCCAAGCCTTGGACATTATGAGAGAGCAATCGGATTATGGCAGAGTGTTGTTTTAGGGTAGATATGGGAAGCAAATAGCATGGTCATTATCGGACAAGCTCATCCATCAATATAGAGTATCAAGTATCCAGAGGTAGGTCAAAAGTCCCAAGGTGATCCTCAGGGGGAAAAAAAAAAAAAAAGAGTAGAAAAAATTAAGAAAATGAAAGCAACAAGAGGGAAACCAAGGACGCCAAGGCCGGTGAATGGCATCCAACCATTGATTAATTACCAATATACAACAAAAGATAATTAAATACCAATATCCTAGACACTAGGTCAAGGACCAAAAGAGTCTCCGCAAAGTCAAACAATGGGGAGTCTTTTAAATGAAGAGTGAGCATAGACTTTTTCCCGGTGTCCCAGGGTCTACATGTAATGTCCATCACACTTTTAAAGCCACCAGCGTATTTTAGCAAAATACATCAAACATAACTATAAACCAGTTCGTATAACCAGAGGCCAATGTCCCATAATAGGGCCACTGAGAGGCCTCCGTTAGAATTTAACAAATAGTAAAGCGGGATTTCACGGCACCAGGTGTGATGTTACAGCAGCAGATTTCTTCCTGGAGGCTGGTAACCACAGAGACGACAGAGTGTGTGTGTGTGGGGGGTCCATTATTTTAAGCTAAGTTCTGGGAGGAGGGACTAAGGGAAATAAAACCCAAATTCAGCAGAAGTCTTTCCCCCTCAGGGAATGTAGAGAAGGCATAGGATTTGCCATGATACAGAAATTGCAAGCAAAATGGATCGTTACAGCGATAATGAATATCCCTCTGGTTCAATGGTGAGAGTAGCGGTTTTAAAGCCCTTCTCTTTTGGATGGTAGCTTGATGTCTGCAAAGACTCGACTCCAGGGTCCCTCAACTTCTAGATCTGGATGTTCCCTAGCATAACGCATCACTGATTCTTTAACTTTGAAAAAATGTGGTTTCACGATTATGTCCCGAGAAGGGCCATCCGGCCACAAAAGGACCAAGACCCTGTCGATATGATCTATTTCCAGATGAATATCATCAATTGTCGGATCAGCTGCATGAATAAGGGAACGGGCAATGGGTTCAATATCTTTTACCATTTCGGGGAGCCCTCTAATTCTGAAATTGCCACGTTTGACCCAATTCTCAATATCATCTATTTTATTGTAAGCCTCATCTAAGCGATCCTGTAAATTGGCAATCATGCTAGAATTTTGAGTCACTCTGTGGACTGTATTATCATCTTTAGATTCAATCTTTTCGAGACCATCCCCCAATTCCCGAAAATCCTGTTTCAGGTCACAGGCCAATTTAGTGGTAGCTTTATCTAGTTCCCGCTGCAGTAAATAAGCAAAACGTGTGATAAGTATGGAATCTCCAGAATAAAGTGGAAGTGCAGGAGGAAAGACAGGAGAGTCCACTGGACCATCGTGAATCTTGAACCACTAGAATCTTGGCTGCATGACTGACTAATGAAAATGTTCACCATCTCCCTGTCTAGCATGGAGGAAGTGTGGGAGTCGTGGCCTGGAGAGAGGCTTGCAGCTTGTGAAGGCGACATAGGAGGACTAGGAAGAAAGCCAGAAAGTGCAGGAAGAACACTCACGTGTGCCACATCTGCAGAGGAGCTGTCATCCTGGTATCCAGGGTTAGATGAAGAAGGTGAAGGCCGAGAAAGCCTTGGAGCCAGAGCCGGGCACCAACTTGCCTCCCCTGCCTGCTCCTTTAAATGTAGTTTGGGAGCTGCCCACAAACTTTCCAGACAGTCAGATGGGCATGGAAAGAGCCCCCACCATCTCAACCAAAGGCTCAGGTACGTGTCCGGGGTGCTGGTGACCTGGGGTTGCTGTATTTTGCCCCTGAAGCGCCGGGATCGTGCGTAGCGGTCAACAGGACATCCGCTCCAGCCGCCCATGCATGCACACCTCTCATATTCATTTTAATGTAACAATGCACAACAGAAAGGGAAATGGCTGAGCTTTCATCTGAATGATCTAGTCAGCACAATATGCATCTTCTGTGCTGCCCCTGGGAGCACATGGGGTGCTTCAAGACTTAACAGTAAAAGCTCCCATTTTGGTGATTGTGTCTATGAAGACATAAGCCATCCAATTTACTAGTACGTGAAAAAGGCATTCCATTTGGAAATATCATTTGTGTTTGTTGCCCTGTAAATTATATATCACCACTTCTTTATTAATAACGATAAAAAGATAAAAGCTGTAAGAATGCAGTCATTGTCAGAGATCCCTGTAAATTTCTGTTTCGTGACATACAGTATTGATATCCAAAACAGATTGACATTACTATTTCTTACCCATTCAATGGATCCACTACAATGGCTCTAGGATGAGTCATCTTCCCTTCTATCAAGGTTTTTCTGGTCTGCGATGCCTTTTCTAAACGAGCCACACTGATGGTCTTCTTAGGCCCATCATCTGTCCAGTACAGGTTGTTTCCCATCCAGTCTACAGCAACACCTTCTACATTGTGTATACCTTTCAAGAATGGTTAAAAAAAGACATTTAAAAATGATGTTAATTAATATCAACAAAATATTGTAATATCATAAAAATAGGGAATTCTAACGCCAGCAACTTTGAAAAAGTATAAACTATTGTAAAATACTATGGTACTAAAAAATATTGTTTCAAGAAATAGTGTGTATTTTAGCAATTTAGGTTAACACCTGTCAATTACCATCTATACTTAGGAAAGGGAAAAAAAGGAAACTAAATCTAAAAACAAAGATATTACAATTAAGGTACATTGGTACCACTCCATACAAAGTTATACAGCAACTAGCCACAGGTACACAGGCTCTCAAGGATCTGCTTTCTCCCCTCCATACAAATACATAAACCACACACTGTTGTGTTTTTTTTTTCTTTTTATTTACTGAGCTGAAACAAACTTTATTGGTACAAGAAAGATCAGACAGACATGCTTTCACTCATCAGATGTGACTCTGTTCTTGAAGTGATGGTCTTAATCAGAGGAGGTGGATAGGATGCTGCATCTTAAAGTGTTACTAAACCCATAACAGTAAAATCAATCTGCATATGCAGTAAAGCATGCTTGTTATACTCACTGTGGAACCTAAGGGGTTAATCCTCCACAATGTGTAAAAAGGCTATTTGATCCTCTCTCTTCTCTAATCTTCGCTACTTCTACTGTCCTTAATCCATCTGCTGATAGAACAAGGACTTGGGGGCAAGCTGCACATGCTCAGTTTGGTGTGTATTGCTAGAGAGGTTTTTTTCTTGGCAGAATGCATGTGATTTGCACATGGCCAATCTGCACTGTACAGACAGAGGGTCAGGGGTCATGCAGCCTCATAAGACAATCAGGGGAGAATAAAAACTTCTCCTACAAGCTTTAACCAGTGTTCTTCTGGACACTGTTAGAAGTCACAAGACTGCTCTAACTGCTTATGTGAGGTATTCAGCAGTTTATATTTACTAAAATAATTTCATTACCCTGTTCTGTGCACTGTGCAAGACCGGATATACGGAATTCAGGATCCTGGGTTTAGTAACACTTTAATTTCCACAATGCAATGTTACAATCTCAAAGCACTGATCTTAAAATATAAACACAAAGTGATATCCATCACCAAATCATATTACAATTCCTTAAATACTGCTGGGTAATAATCCTAAGAATGCTTTGCATAAATATAGTTTATGTTGCAACCTCTTATGAAAAAAATTGTCCATTATGACAAGGCCTTATCGCAATATATATATATATATATATATATATATATATATATATATATATATATATATATATATATATATATATATATATATACACACACATATATATATATATATATATATATATATATACACACACACACACACACACACACAGATAGATCGATCTAATCAAAGATTCCCCCTTGATATAAAACCAGTAATCATTAATAACATATACAAATTAACAAGAAAAATTAAATTTCTATTCACTTTCCCCACTTTAAAATTTGCATTAAGCACCTTCATATCTTTTTCCTCTGAAGTTCTGGCCAACATTGTACCCCAATTTTGAATCATTTTCGCTAAGTTCATTATTCTGCATTTAGAAACATTGAACAGCATCTTCCATTGTTTTGACAAATCTTTCATCAATGCTAAATCATGTTCCATGTTACAAACACCTCCAGCAATATTTACCCTTTGGCACACCTTTGGGTCACCAGTATCAAGATATACTATGTCCACAGCACCACCCTGCTTCAAAACATTAGTGATATAATCAAAAGATTGAATCAAAATAGAATGACATGATTTGCCCTTAGTAAAGCCATGCTGCTTTGGGGGTCCAGCACGTGTGTTTTTAAATAAACATTGATCCTTCTTTTTAGGAGAGTTTCCATTAGTTTTACTGTAACAGACATGTCAAACTTACTGGCCTGTAATTGCCAGCTTCTTCCTTTCTACCCTTCTTGTGGATAGCTACAATATTAGCTGTCTGCCAATCATGGGTAACTTCTTTAGAAGAGATTGATTATACAATGGTCCAATAACTATCCTCAAAGTTTGAACTTAGAACTCTGGGGTGAATACCAACCGCTACCATTTTTTTTATTAAGCTGGTTTATCTGCTACCTCAAAAAAAAAAAAACATGAAATTTAACCTTCACCACTGCAACCACCATGATCTCCAGCTTGATTTTGTTAGTGGAATTTACTTCTGAGAAGACTGAAGAGGAGCACTTGTATAAATGATCTGATACATTCAGATCTCTCTCAGACAGTTTTCATATTTGTGATCTTACAGTATTCTCAGTTGGGTGTTACCTGGGTTTCTCTGGTGCCAACATTTTTTGAATTGCAATAAACCTCAACAAACCAGTTAAAGGATCAAGTGTGCTGTCATTGGTTGTGTCCTAGCCACCAAGAGCAGACTTCAGCTCTTTTCAAACCTTTTACATATCTCGAGTGGGTCTCAGAGGAGAAGGGGAACGGAAAAATACACAGGAGTTTGCGCTTTCCATTCTACTAGATGCACAGTGATCTGCCTCCTGTGACTATCCCTATCCCTGCGGTTCCCTCTAATTACCTGCTGCTAATATTGCATCCTAATCACCATAGGGACATGTCTGAGCTCTGGAAAAGAGGGTTGGGGGAGTGTGAGCAGAACCACAGTGACAAAACAAGTGGAGCACTTTTATGTGTATGAGTGGCCTGGGGATGATGGAGACACTGGTTGTGATCATGTCCTTTTGTCTTTCTATGCCTGTCTCCATGAATCCATGTCGTTTTCATTGCCATTGCAACAATCAGTGGTTTATATAAGATTCAAAATTATTTACATTTGTCTGAATATACTGTAGGTATATTTTGTACATTAGTGTACTTTTGGTTTTGTGTTTATGAGTTTTTTTGTAGGATATCTGAAGCTCTTCCTACAGTGTTGCTTCCATTTTATATAGAATAGTTGATGCCTTGTGTGATTTTTGGTTGAAAAATGACCTACATTGAGCACACAGCATACCTTATCAATATCTTTAAAAAGTCCTTTATAATAGGTAGAGCTGAGTTTTTGAGAGTTAGTGTTGCAGATATTTGATTTGGATTGCAATCTGATATTCAAACATTTGAATGAAAATTCTCAGAACATTCAATGACTTGACAAGTACTTAAAAAATTTTGTATGCTTTTAACATTCAATTTTGAATGTAAACCCAAATGAAAACCACATTTACTATTAGAAATTAATTCCATTGAATGTTCTTGTCACAGTAGTTGGTCATGTGTCAAATTCACCCCACTAAGGATTAGAAATCCTTCTACTATTATATAGCCAGCTTTAGTCTCACTATTTCTCCAGCAAAATACAGACGGAAGAGCCTTAGATTTTGCATATTTTGAAAGGGTGCCTTGACTGAAAAAAATGATAAATTCTGTCTTTTCTATTCTTCTTCTCACTGATAAACCTACAAAAAGGTATTGTCTCCTCACCTAATGAATTTAATGATCTACTGATGTTTTCTCCTTTACGATCCTATGTTGGTAGCAAACCAAATATATATGATTTTCTATTCTGTTTACTCATACTAATTTGGCATACTAGTAAGGTCACGAAAACAAGACTGCAGAATATTTTGATTAAAAAAACTGAACAACATTGGCTGTTTTGATTCACATGTAAAATTGTTAATGCTCTTTGCTTATATATGTGTAAAATTAAGATGCACAGCACCTCATTCTAAAAAAAATGTATTACCTTTATCTTTCTTCCTTTAGCTTACTTTTATGCTTAAATCTAACATTTTCCTTGACTTGTTCTTGAAGCTATCAGTTGAAAGACAAGGTACATAAAGTCATATAAAAAAAACCATATGTATTACATAAGAATACATTTGGGTTCACGTAATTCTTCATGATGCCTTACAAGTTTTCTTGATGAATGTCTCTAGAAGCTACCAGAAGTACGGTTTTAATTTTTTCACTACTCTTTTTATTTAGTACATGGGTTTCTCTTCCTTGCTCTTACAAGAATAGTGATTGCATTTTATAAAATGGTCAGATCATGTACAATTGGTTACAAGTTTTGCTTATCAGCGCAGCCATCTTTTAGGGTGCCGTTCTATACAAGTTGTGACATCATTTATTAGCATTCTGGTTACTTTTTAGTGCATGATAGTAAATGCAATTCAGGGTATGATTTGTAAATGTACCACTCTAAATAGACTGTGATGTCTGTGTACACCCCTCCTCTTTCTTTTCTGCTTTTCCTTTTTAACAATATTCTTACTAATATGTAAGTATATGGTTGTATGCATCCTATTTATTCGTGGTGTATAACTGCAAGATTACTAAGGGAGAATCAATAAGGTTTACGGCTACAGAATGTAGCCAACCTAGCACATCTGCTGGATGGATATAGAAATTACAATAATGGAAATAAAATCATAACACCAGATGGAAACCCACTGAGTAAACAAGCCTGACACATGCTGCATCATAATATGGGTACTTGCTTTAAGCAAAACCAGTGTTATGTGCTTTGTAAATTATGTCGTCATGACAAACACTCGATTTTCGTATAGTTCAATGTACAAAGCAGTGTGCTCTCTGTTCATCCAACTCTTAGGAAAGCAACCCAGACATTGCGATGAAAGACCCCTACTGCAACTCCACTACTTATGCAAGTTACCATTATAGGAACTGGATAGAAAGTCGTGGGCTGAAAATAAGCAGCATGCTAGTTAATACCATTAGTCACCATACTAGTAAAGAAATTGAAAAATATTTCAAAATATTAGATGTTAACTGCATATCAAACACTTATAAGTATTTAACCAAATTATATACTGATATTTTGGTAGATTTTTTTAAATATCTAAAAACGTACCATACTTCTATGTTGGCATCAGAGTTCTTGCAGCTGTGTATCTGAAGATGTCACAATAGAACCCACTACAGAAATAGTACATTGCTAAAGTTTTTTGCTTTCTTCTTTTCAGATGTCCGTTTTACCAAACAATTACATCTTTATATATTTATGCTGCATTTGGAGTTAGGAACCTTAATCAAGAATTTCCATTGTAATGTGTAGATCAGTGGATCATAATATCTGTACATTGTCAAGCCAGCCATAGATGGTTTGACTGGATGGTTCTGATTCGAACCATGTATGAGCAGGCAGAATGTACCCAAATTGACTGATCAACATGGGTACAACCTGCCTGTCGGATTTTACATACGGTTATTGCTAGCGGCTATTATAGCCACTAGCAGTAATTCGTGTGTGTTTCTATCGGTGGGGGAAGAACGCAATGTCTCAGAGGGAGGGATTCCCCCATCAACACTGACTGTGGTTGCAGGAAAGAAAATCACTCCATCTATGCCTGGCTTTAGAAAGGGAATATACTGTATTCCCAAGTAAAATGTAGTATATAGTGCTTTAAGATGAAAACCTGAAAATGAAAATAAGGATTGCTCAAATGGTAAGTGTGATTGTTGTTTTCTGTTGTACAGAGTATAGCAAAGCTAGCAAACAAAGCTACAAACCAACAATGTGACAGATGTCAGGCACTTTTAGATCTACTCTATCAGTAACTAGCTTGCGTTTGTAGAATGAACTAATCAAGGAACCCCTCCACAAAACTCTTGTCCACCCAAACACGTTGTCACATGTATGCAGATATCATGACACTGTCTCAAACTCTTGAGTCTGGAAGGGCAGCACAAATGGCAAGCATCCAGACTAAACAGATTTGGACAAACATACAGTGCATCCAGAAAGTATTCACAGTGCTTTGCTTTTGCCACATTTTATTATGTTACAGCATTATTCCAAAATGGATTAAATTCATTTTTTTCCTCAACATTCTACAAACAATATCCCATAATGACAATGTGAAAGAAGTTTGTTTTGCAATCTTTGCAATTTATTAAAAATAAATCTCTGAACATCTCTGGAGAGATCTGAAATTGGCTGTGCACCGTCGCTCCCCATCCAACCTGATGGAGCTTGAGAGGAACTGCAAAGAAGAATGGGAGAAATTGCCCAAAAATAGGTGTGCCAAGCTTGTAGCATCATACTCAAAACAATTTGAGGCTGTAATTGATGCTAAAGGTGCTTCAACAAAGCATTGAGCAAAGGCTTTGAATATGTATGTACATGTGTATTTTTTGTTTTTTATTTTTACTAAATTGCAAAGATTTCAAAATGAACTTCTTTCACATTGTCATTATGGAGTATTGTTTGTAGAATGTTGAGGAAAAAAATTAATTTAATCCATTTTGGAATAAGGCTGTAACATAACAAATTGTGGCAAAAGTTAAACGCTGTGAATACTTTCTGGATGCACTGTACGTATGGTCAATTCCGCCAAATTACATGACACCCAGACATGAGTGCATGTTGGCCTAACTAATGTGTACAACCAGCCTAAGGATTTACATAGTAAAAAATAAAGGGTGTCCTAGACTTTAATTCATGCTCTAACATAATATATATGGATCAGTGACATTTCCAGAAATAGTATGAACTTGATACCTTAAATCTGATAAAATAAAATTCTCCCTCATGGTGAGGCTTTCAGCACACTGCAAAAAAAATGCTTGTTTAGGCCTTGAGTACCGAAAAAAGCAGTTATACTTACCTAAATCGTAGCTCTTCTGACAACCAGCATTCCTTCCTTCTCCCTTACGCTCTGGCTTGTGAACTGTTCCTTGGTGACCCTATGTCCAATGCAAGGCCTAAAGGCTAAAGGCCTTGCATTGAAGGTGAAGACTTCAGAGGACCTGGGAAGCCAGAGCTTAGAAGGGAAAAAAAGCTGCAGGGACTGGTCTAGCAGCGCAGAGAAATGAAACTGCTAGACCTAGCAGCATGGTTAAGTAAAACGGCTAGGCCTAGACCTAATAGGGAATTTAACTTTTGTAATGTGAGGGAGGCACCACTTCAAGGAAGGATTTTTGTTTTCTCCAGAGTTCAGCTTAAAAAAAAAAATATAAAAATTACAGAAACCCCACTAAAATGTAGAAAGCTTGAAACTTTAAGAACCTTAGCTATTCTAACCAGGGATAAAAAAAAAAAATTTTCATAAATACAATAATCTAGTGGAGCTATAAATAAATCAGCCATGAAAGCTCATTTCCCCATCTTTTTTTCCAAATCGGAGCTCTAAATTACATCTGAAATGTCAGAGAGACAGACATCTATGAACCATCACACCTAGTTAATTAGCTGGATTTTACCAACACAGACAGCTCATGTCACACACATAAAAGAGTGCATAAGCCTTTGGGATGTAATGGGGGAGGAGAGGGGGAATAATCTGGCATTGAGTGTGAGTCTATTCTGTAATAATTCTCCACAACAATAAGACTCTATATACAACTCTGTAATGGCTACTCACACAGAAAGCTCTAATAAGACAAGCACATGTGAATAACCATTGCACAAAATACACAGATCTGTGCTGAGAATCATTCATGACACTGTGAATGCACGGATTAGCCAAATAAGCTCCTGTCCCATCATCACGTTCAATTCTACAATGTATGTTAATGTAAATCACAACCAACAGAATACTAAACACAAAGGTATTCATTTTCATGCAAAGAAGCTCATGTATAAATAGCATCTATGAATAAATCTGAAGCATTTCTCATTTTCAGAGAAACCCCAAAATTTGAATAAAACTTACTTAAAACCTAAATTTGCTGAATATAAAATGTCTGGATAGACAAATTTTAGAGAATATTATGTGTTATTTTAACTCTGTCTCCTGACTGCTATGGGCTCAAATCATGAAACTGTATTTACTTTAAGATAAGTGGTAAAATAGTGCGTAGCATTTTTCCAAAAGCCATTCATCAAAAAATGCTTGTAAAATAAGGCAGATCTTATCCCTTTGAAATGTGCAGTACTTATCCCATGACACTGATCAGTATTTTATCGCATTATGTCACATCCAGCAGGCGTTACTTATTTTCTGGTGGACACTTCTGAGGAAGGAGCGATTGAAGAGAGTCCAGAGGAAGAGCCCAATGTAGCCCAAATATTGCATGCCTGGACGCATGCATTTATTTATGTACTTTAGTGAATTTTATGCAGTATTTACTGAGCATTTTTTGCTTTTTTTTTTTAGGTAAATAATGGATTAAGGGATAATGAATTGACATTTTCAATATAGCATATGATATTTGGAAAAAATCTGTCACATGACTCAAATACAATATTCTTTAGTCAGCTGAGTCCATTTTCAGTTAATGACACTTTACCTTTTCAAATAGAAACCTCTGTTGCATAAAAGAATAAATTAGAAACATGGCCAAGGGCACATTTCTTTTAAGAAAAACAATTAAAAAAGACTACGATAAATTTGTCTCAGAAGTTCACTACTGTTTCCCGTGTTCATTTTCAAATATTTCAGTGCTGTGACAGCTTACAAGAGCCCTCTAGTACAATATGCATTCATGTGATTTGGCCCGTGGCATCCAATAGCATAAATCTGATCTGTGTGGTCAGAGTAACAAAGGTGATATAACCGGTTGCACAAATCTGCTATTTTCTTCATGTTTAAGGGCAGCTTTATAGTAACATGAAACCTCACCTTCTTGAAGAATGTTTTCTCGGCCAGTACCATCTATTTTCTGTCGCCCAATCAAGAAACTTGTGGTGTCTGCAAAGTACATGTAGCCATATTCAGCATGAAAGTCCAGAGCCCGAGGGTTCATGAGGTTTTCAATGGGTATCATGTGTTCATCAGGAATATTGGCTCCCATATCCATCCCTCGGATGATACCAGGACGTCCTCGACCATAAACTAAGAACAGCTCATGTTCAGGCTCTGAAATAGTAAATATTTGATTACTGTTTGCAGATATAAAATGTGTTGTCATATTACAATTTTAATCATGAAAATTAACTATTATACCTTAAAGGGGGATTTAAAAGAAAAAAATGAGGAGTTCCAATCTACTATATTAAATGGAAGTCTGGAATGCTTTCAGAAACTTACAATGGCATATAAAAAATAAATAAAAAATTTGATCAGCAAGTCAAAACTAACTGGTGCAACTACCTATCTTCCTCTGGTATTTGTTTCTGAGGCTACTCTGTTCCAGGAGAAGTCCTCCACATGTGGTGGACATGCCCTATGTTCTCTACGTTTTTTGGATAACAGTTCTTAAAGTGGTTCTCTAGCCTAGAAAACAATACATAAATGTCAGCAGCTACAAATACTATAGCGGCTTCCCAAAGTAAACATTCCATCTGCAGGTCCAGATGCCAGCATGTTTACTTTGGGGAACTGGCTGTGATGGCTTGAAGCCTCACTGTGCTATGTGAATGGTCCTGCAGCTTGCTGGGACCTGTGACTTGTCCCAGAAGGTGGGGGGGGGGCAACTTCCACCTGGACTGCCACAGGGCATGGACCGGAAGAAGAAACTGGTACCTGTCAACCACCCCCCCCCCCCAAAAAAAAAAAAAGTGCCAAAAGGGGGGTTGGCAGACTACTGGACATTACCCTTTCCCCTTCTGGGTGAAGCTCCGTTTTAAGCTCCTATGATCATTGCTGACTTGTCCCTTCACTATAGACTTGTGATACATCCTGTTACACTTGCAGCCTCCGGGCCTCAGAAGATCTCAATTTAAACTGGCAATGCACGCATTACTGGCAGCAAAACAAAGCATAGGAACAGCTTGGAAACTCTTTGTTCCCTTCACAGAAGTTCACCATCACTTTTTTTTAGCAATGAAAAGCTCACCAGCATTCTCCTAGACACATACACACACAAGAAATTTCTAAAAATATGGACCTCATGGATTCAGTATGCTTACCCTTCCATGTCCACAGCTAGATATGTGCTGTTATAAGCGCTGAGGCCCTATGACTCTGGCTGGGGTGTATCTGACTTCCTTCTCTCCTTGCCCTATTTCCTTTCCTTCCTACTCTTCTTGGTTCTCCCGCTATGAAGGTCCCGTTTTACATATTACTTTGCTCTCTGCAAGGCGGACCCAACACTACCACCAATCTTCTGAGTGTCTACTAACATGGTATTAGCGATCAGTCCATATTTCTGAATACATTTCTAAACCATATTAGAATGTTATCTGGAATACTTATTGTTCTACAGTTCAGTTACTCCCCCCCTTTGATGTTTGATGGATACTGTTTTTAAACTTACTGATATATGGGTCTCACTCATATATTTATATGAGGTTGTGCTCTGTATCCTTTAAAAATCTAAATAAAAAATGTATTGGAAGTGAAAACTAACTACTGCAATACATGAGCTGTAGGATATAGGAGGAATACTATGTCCCCAACCAATAATGGGAACTGAGAACAGATTTCTATTTTTTTTTCTTAGAAAGTGCCATTTAGTTCTTAAGCACACATGGGGAGGACAAGATTATATTCAAAGACATGTCTTTCAAATAGACCATGGTAATATATGCCAGCTTTTAAAAGGTGTCTATGAATGTCCTCATTTATGCAGTTCCTGGTATATCTAGCCGTAGTTAGTCACATTCAAATGATCTTGTTCTGTAATGCTGAAAATGTTTCATAGCTTGTCCAAGACATTTCTTTATTTCTAATTGGTGTCAGGAAACAAATGGCTATAAATGCTGGGGTATTTTCCTGACACTCATTAGAAATTAGGAAATGGCTTGAACAAGGTACAAAACATCTTCAACATTTCAGAACAAGTCCAGTTGAATGTGACTGTTTCTAGTTATACAATGACCTAAATAAATGAGCATTTTCACAGACATATTTAATATGTGACCAACTGGGGATGTGTGGCCGGCCGGCAGAAAAGATGGCTGCATGGCAACACAGCTCCTTCCCATGCTGGCTCACCAGAATGATTCCCAGACACACAGGGCTTCGGTTCATGCTGCAAACAACTCCCTGAGGGTCAGACAACATCAGACATGTAGTCCAGGAAGAACAAAGATAGAAGCAGACTGGGAAAAATGACTGACTTCTTTCCTCAGCCGCAGCGCTTCAGCAGCCAAGATAATGCCAGCGGCTCTCCAAGCTCCTCACACGGCCGCTCCCTGGAACACAGCTCTACATACAAATACCCTTCCAAACAAATGTCAGAGGCCGGCCTCAATCAAAGACCGCAATCTCAGTCATCCTCATCCACCTCAAGCACAGCGAAAGTGAGACCTAAGCTACAGGGCACAGTACAGGAAGTGAGTGCATTGGATTCTTCATTAGAAGATGCCATGGAACTACAGGACTTCATTTTGGAGCTCTCTACAACTAATCATCCAGTCCTTGATACAACTCTAAAAGGAAAAGCTAGTAATCTCTGCGCACTACTATTCACTCTGACATTATGTCACTGGCTCAACAGTTTAAAGCAGATGTGGAAGCTGTGACTAAGAGAGAGTGTCCCATATTGAAAGCAAAATGGGGGCATTTGCTTCCACTTTTAACGAACTGGTGGATTCCCATACTGAAAGAGGTGATGAGCAGCATTGGATCAGAGCAAAAATGTGCAGATCCAGATGATAAATTTTAAAAATTGTATTCCTGAGTTGGTGAATCCATCAGATCTGAAAGCTTACTTAAACATGGTGTTACAGGAAGCTCCTCCAGAAGCACCAACAGTGGAGCTACTAATTGATTGCATACATATGTTACCTAAACATCTCTCAAAGTATCTGCCAAGAGATACAATTACAAGAATTCACTTATTCAGTTATTAGCAGCGTTCAGAAATAAATAAGTGCTTCCGCAAAGCTTACAAGTGATCGCACTGTTTGCAAATCTCTCAGCATACACAATGCAACAAAAAAGGCAGTTGGCTACTATTAACAAACCATTGCACAACCACCATATTCCACATTTCTGGGTACATCCAGCAAAATTGTTAATAACAAAAGGAGAAGACACCCATGATATTACAACTGTGATGGATAGCCTTCTGCGTGCATGGAACAGCCTGGATCCACGACACCCCACTCAAGACGACTCTCCATCAAGGTTGTCTTACACTGAATCAGATACAGACACAGGTTTGCTCTGTGTGCTCTCTCACCGGACCATTGTCTCACCAGTGAGCCTCTGGAATTTGATTATTTCATTGCTTTTTGACCCCACTATTATAAGCGGGTTTATTTTTGCAGATTCAATTGTGAATAATCTAGCTTTTATGATACCTACACCTGCATAAGTTCTTGTTGTTGGTGTAGGATAGTGTCTGTTTCTGTTGTTGTTTTTCTAATCTAGCAGGATATTTAGCCATATAGCGCATTTTGCATTTTTCTACCAATTATCCAAGACTTAAAGGAGAACTTGCATTTTTTCCAATTCTGCAATGGTTCTGTTCAAAAGGGGACATTAATCTAATCCTGTTGAAAAAGACCACTATATAGAGACACTATTACTTTTTATCACTCTCTCTGCTAAATTTTCCCAATATGTCTTTCAATATCTCCTCATTCAATGTAAAAGGGCTTAATAGTCCTTTTAAGAGGAATATGACATGGAAGAAAGCTAAAAATGTTACAATGTGAAATTTTATGCTTACAGGAAACTCATTTTTCCTCTCTTAAATCGCATTTTCAGCACCGCAACTTTACAAATTTTTTTTACTAACGTTCATAGAAAAAAAAAAAAAAGAGGAGTAGCTGTTGCAGTAAGAGACAGTCTCCTTTAAGCAAACAGAAGTGCTTGCTGATGTGTCGGGTAGATATTTGATAGTGATTTGTGAAATCAATAAGGTTGTATATAGCCTTGTCAATATTTACCTGCCTAATGTAAAACAACTTTGTTTTTTAAACAAATTATGGAGGAAAGTTACCTCCATGCTTTGAGGTCATATGATCTTGTGTGGCGATTTTAATTCTATTCCAAATAGAGAATTTGATTTTTCTACATCCTCTAAGCTCAGAGTCTAGAGCTACACTTGCTCATTTTATTGCCACATCAAATAGATTTTACCTACTTTCTCATATCTATCACTTATACTCAAGAATGTATTTTTTTTGGTGGACAAATTTATGTTGCAAAACATTTGTAAATCTGATAAACACACTATCACATGGTCCGACCATGCCCCAATCTCTATCACAGTGGGAGAGGTTTGCATCGAAACAAGGGCTAACAGATGGCGCAATGACACTTACATACTATCACATCTGCAATATAAATCTGAAATTACCAAAGCCTTAAAAGAATTCTTTGATACTAATGCTCCTTCGATTGAGAACCCCTCCACTTTGTGGAATGCACACAAGGCCTTTATAGGCATTTCTAATATATATATATATATATATATATATATATATATATATATATATATATATATATATATATATATATATATATATATTATAAGATATCTATGTCTCAAAAACTCTGCGATCAATTATACATTGCTAGACAAGATTTAAGGTCCCTACTAATACACCAATACAATCACCATATCAGAGCAATGAAAGCTAACAACTATAGATTTGGTAATAAGGCTGTTAAAATACTGGCAAATCAAATGAAAAAAAAAATTTATTAGACAAAAGATTTCTTACATTCATGATCCGAATACTGATAAAAGGGTTTACAACCCCAAAGAAATTGTTGACGCCTTTAGCATCTACTGTAGCGCACTATAAAACCTCCAAAAGGAGTCTAAAACAGTTCAACCAACTCCAGAACTGATTACTGAATTTTTGCATCAATTTCTCCGCCTACCATCCAAGAAGCAGACTTGGATTTTCTCAATTCTCTGTATACTACCCTAGAAATTGAAACAATCATTCAGAATCTACCCCATAATAAATCTCCGGGCCCAGATGGATACAAGGAGTATTGTCAAATTTACAAAT